GCGGCTCGCGAGCCGCAGTTTGCCGACCACGGGTGTGGGGTACCACAGGCAGGAGGATTTTGCATACGCTGCCAGGCCATGCTGGCTCCATCAATGAAGTGGCTTTCTGCCCCGACGAGCCCATCATGCTCTTAGCATCAGGGGACAAGAGGCTGTCTGTCTACGGGGAAAGTCCAGGGACCATCAGGAATGGGGACTCCAAGGCTGCATGACCTCAGGCTGCATCCGTGGCATCAAGCAGTGCCCTCGCCAGCATCCTCCCTTCGGGTGAAGATTAAGAAACCAGGGCGGTGGCCGGGTTCCAGCCACCACATGCATCTCATTTCTCCAGGACGGATGAGTCGATCGAGCGTACAGAGGCCTCTGAAACCACCCGCCAGATTTCAGGGACTGTTCGCTTTTTCCTTCTTTACTTTTTCTTTTTTTTTCTTCAAAGGGACAGATATTAGTTGGTTGGTAGCTTCCTGTTTTCTCCACCAGATTGAAGACAGGGAATGTGACTGAACTGTGCTTAGTGGGGAATTGTTTTAATAATTGGCTTGTATATTTTATTTCTGTGTTTCTCTGAGTCATTTCGTATTAAAAGCCAAATAGATGCCTTTTTACGAGAGAAAAAAAAAAGCCCACACACAAATGAATAGAGGAAATGATATGGACTTCGGGGACTCCCTCTGGCCACATAAAAAGTGGGTCCCGTGAGCCTCTGCAGAAGGATGCCCTTCCCTGCGTCAATGCACCCTCTGCAGATAAGAGGGGTAGTTTATCCAAGGAACAGGGCCACAGGGATTTAAGTTGCCCTGGCACGTCTGGGGAGCACCGGCCACACACACCAGCGCTGCCCGGAGGGAGTGGTGGGCACAGGAGGGTTTGGAGCTGAGGCTGTGAGGTCGGGCTGTGGGCAGCGGCACGGGGCCTCAAATGCCACCCTAAGGATTGTGACTTGATGCTTCAAGGAGCCAGAGGATGACACGGTCAGATCTGTCTGGCAGTGACAAGGACTGGGGGACAGAGAGAAGAGAGACTGGAGCCTGGGGGCTGCTGGGCAGGGACTGGGGGCCAGGCGCAGGCTTCTGTGGACACAAGAGCCCAGCACAGACCCCCTGGCATCACCAAAGCCAGCCGTTCCCACGGCAGGGTCCTGGGCCTTCCCCGCGCCTCTCAGGATCAGGCGCAGCTGCCCTCCTGTTTTTTCAGGTGCACGGCTTCCGCCCGCCACCCTTCGCCCCGCCTCCCTGAGGCATCTCCCAGGCCCACTCCCAACAGCCCTTCATTCCAGAATCACAGAGAAGCCTCAGATGCAGACATTCCCAGGGGATCCGACTTCCTCTCCTTCGCCCTCATTCAGCAGCTGGACCCGCCACCCATTTCCTGAGACTCTGCCGTGCACAGCCCTGGGAGGGAGACACGGGCGGGACAGACCAGATTCTGCCCAGCGGTTCAGTGAGGCAGGGGCCGTGGGAGGGTGCACCCCTGCCCTTCCTGCAAGACAGCTGGGTGTGTGCACAGGGCTGGGTGTGTGCACAGGGCTGGGGGGTGTGCACAGGGCTGGGTGTGTGCACAGGGCTGGGGGGGTGTGCACAGGGATGGGGTGTGTGCACAGGATTGGGGTGTGTGCACAGGGCTGGGTGTGTGCACAGGACTGGGGTGTGTGCACAGGGCTGGGGTGTGTGCATAGGGCTGGGGGGCAGTGCATAGGGCTGGGGGAGGTGCATAGGGCTGGGGGGTGTGTTTAGTGCTGGGGTGTGTGCATAAGGCTGGGGAGTGTGCACAGGGCTGGGGGTGTGAGGAACCGAGGAGGAAAGGATTCACCCCTCTGGGTGGAAGGGAAGTGGGTCAGACTCAGCAAGTCTTGAGGGTGGACCCCAGGTTTAAAAAAAGCCCAAAAGATCTGGTTTTCATGTCTCCCTTTCACAGCTGTGTGAGCACAAGCAAGTCACTCCACTTCTCTGAACCTCTGTGTCCTCACGTACGAAGGAACAAACATACAGTCGTCCTCCTTCTTCTGCGGGGATATGTTCCCAGGCCCCCCGTGGATAGTATCAAACCCTATCTATACTCTTTATTAAAATATATTTTATTGATTTTTTTACAGAGATGAAGGAAGAGAAATAGAGAGTTAAAAACATCTATCAGCTGCCTCCTGCACACTCCCTGCTGGACCAAGGTACATGCCCTTGACCAGAATCAAACCTGGGACCTTTCAGTCCGCAGGCCGATGCTCGATCCACTGAGCCAGACTAGTTAGGGCTAGGGCCCTGTCTATACTCTTTTTCCTATACCTACATATCTGCAATAAACTTTCACTTATAAATTAGGCACAGCAAGAGATTAACAATAACTAATAATAAAATAGAACAGTAATAACATATTCTGTCATAAGAGTTTGTGAATGTGGTCTCTCTCGAATTATCTCTGTCTGTGCTCACCCTCCTTGTATCATCTCACAAGCCTACGGAATTCGACGAGGGGAGTGAATGACGGAAGCACTGTGACGTCGCATTAGGCTACCACTCATGTCTTGCTGTTTTTATTTATTTATTTTTAATCCTCACCCAGGGATATTTCCCATTGATTTTAGAGGGAGTGGAAGACTGAGGAAAAAACAGTGAGAAACATCGATGTGAGAGAAACACATCCGTTGGTTGCCTCCTGCAGGCGCCCTGACCAGGGCCCAGGCCAGGGAGGAGCCTGCAACTAAGGTACGTGCCCTTGACCGGAAGTGAACCCGCGACCCTTTGGTGGATGCTCTATCCACTGGGCCAAACTGGCGAGGGCTACTCATCTGTTTTTAATTAAATTTATTCGGGTGACATTGGCTAACAGGATGTAGGTTTCAGGCGTTGATTTCTGTTACAAGATCTGTACTCTGCACTGTATGCCCATCATTCAACTGAGTCATCATCCATCGCAACATATTAACTACACACACACACACACACACACACACACACACACACGCACCCCTCACCTTCTGATGAGTTGGCTACCAGGCGGCTGAGGGGCGGGGTGCACGCAGCGCGGAAATGCTGGACAGAGGGGTGATTTACGGTCCCCGGGCGGAATGGAGTGGGACGGCGGTGAGAGATTGCATCACGCGACTCGGAACAACGCGCAACTTAAAACTTAGGAGCTGTTTATTTCTGGGATTTTCCATTTAATATTTCTGGACGACGGTTGACTGTGGGTAACAGAAACCATGCAGAGCCAAGCCACGGGTAAGGGGGGTCTACTGTACGTTCGCTCGCGATGCTGGGAGGGAGACCCAATAAGAGGCCGTGAAGCTCAGCGCCTGGGGACGGGGTGTAATCAGAACGGGAAGCAGCCTGCCTCCTGGGACTGGCTGGACCCAGTGACCTGCTTCCAGCCGGTGGACTACGGCAGGGAGCAGCCGGATGGCATGTCTAAGATGAGAAGCCTGGCTCCCATCTCACTCGCCCGCCCCGGCGGTCTGTCTTGCCTGCTCTGACGGGAGCCAGCTGCCGGGCTGGGCACCGGCCGAGGGGCGGGCCACGTGGCAGGAACTGAGCGGGGAACTGGGTTCTGCCAAGAACGTCCTGAAAGCTCTCAGAAATGTATCTCTCTCCCCCCACCCCCCAAACAATGGCTGAGATGACTGTCCCCTGGCCTGGGGGAGACCCTGAGCCAGAGGACCCAGCTAAGCTGTGCTTTGCTTGGTGATCCTCAGACACACTGAGAGAGCGCATTTGTTGTGTTAAGCCAGGGAGTGTCTGTGTGATTTGTTACACAGCAGTAGCTAACAGATACAACCAGGGCGATACTGAGACTATTAAGCAACCAGCTCAGCACCAGCGTTAACCAGTTGGAGCAGATGCTGACAGCAGCAAGGTCCCTGCTAAGCTGCTTGCTAGAGCACGGGTTCAGGAAGAGGGTCAGGGGAGGGACAGGGGAAGTGGTGGGGGGTCTATCTTATGGGAATACTCACACAGGGGTGAAAAAGTACCTACGTGCAAGACTATTCACTGCAGCATTATTTTTTTACTTTTATTTTTTTGGTAATCCTCAGCCAAGGATATTTTCCCATCGATTTTTAGAGAGTGGAAGGGAGAGGGAGAGACAGTGAGAGAGAGAGAGAGAGAGAGAGAGAGAGAGAGAGAGAGAGAGAGAGAGAGAGAAACATTGATGTGAGGGAAACACATCAATTGGTCGCCTCCAGCCTGCAACTGAGGGACAGGCTAACCCTCTATCCACTGAGCCAAACAAGGGTGGCTGCAGCGTTATTTGTTGCAGCAAAAGATTGGAGACGACGGAGAAGTCGACCCCCAGGGACTGGCTCAGTTAAGGACAGCCATCCCGTGGGCTGTCACGCAGCCATTGAACAGGGTAAGAAACCTGCTGATCTCTGGAACGAGGGGCGGGATGTGCTTGGTTCAGGAGAACATGGCATCACAGACCACCCTGTGTGTTACATGTATGTGCACACGCTTATCTGAGGGCTTGTTGCTCTAAAAAAAAAAAAAAACCCGGGTAGCCCTGGCTGCCTCAGAAAGAGACACTGGGGGTGAGAGATGGGAGAGAACCCCGATTTTTCTGTCCCCTGGAGCCCCCTGTGATGTTCCTTCCATCACCTGGGCGGGGGGCAGGGGAGGCAGAAGCAATGATGGCTGTGTTCTGGGAAGACTCGTAAACCCCGATTTGGTGTCTGCAGCTTCTCTAAATTGGGGGTCCTGCGGGGAGGGCCCGGCTCATCTGCCCTCAATAACCAGCCGGAGCTCCTATTGGGAAGAACGGCTCCACTGCTTTAATGAAGGAGCGCTGGGACCCCTCGATGCCCCCTTCTCCCCTCAGTTCCCGCCCACCCCCCCCGCCATCCGCCTGCTCCCCGCCACGACCCCTCGATGCCCCCTTCTCCCCTCAGTTCCCGCCCACCTCTCCGCCATCCGCCTGCTCCCCGCCACCCCCAGCCCCAGCCCGGCCCCAGCCCGGCCCGTCTGAGCCGAGTCCACTCCAGGGGAGGTCTCTGCCGGCTCCCGGGGACTCACCGGGAACGTCCGGGGACGTGTTGAGCGTCATGAAGGCGTCGGACAGGCCGGTTTTGACGGGGTGCTGAGAGGAGCTGATTTCCAGGACGGACATGGGGATCTGCGCAGCAGAAGAGGCTCTATCACTCCAGGCCCTCTCGGGACAGCCCAGCCTCCCCAGGAGCGCCAGCCCCGCCCGCCTGCCTGGCCCTGCCTCCTGGAGGGCGTGAAGACCCCTCACACCCAACGGCCCCCGTTCAAATGTCAAGCCTCCCCCGCCCCACCTCCAGCACCTTTCCTTGCTCTATCTACGCTCCAGCTTCGTGAATGGCACCTCACGCAGGCCTGGGAGTCACCCTGCCCTTCCCTTTTCTTCATTCCCGCCCCCATCCCCTTCCATCTCGTGCATCTCTACATCCTGTTAATTAACCGGCTGCTGGCTCTCAAGTCGGTCCAGTTCTCTCAGTCATCCCCCCCACCAGACTCCAAGTTGACAACACCCGCTTCCTACCTCATCTCCCTGCGTTCCCTCTGAGCCCCCAACATTCTGTGCTCCACTCGGAAGCCAGGGGGACCTTTGTCCAGGGCAAACCTGGTGTTCCCTTTCCCCGTCTTGCCCCTCCCCCTCTCCCCTCCAGCCATGCTGCCTTCTTTCGGTGCTTTGTACCAGCCAGGACCGATCCTGCCACAGGACCTTTGCACATGCTTCTCTTCCTCCCGGAACACACTTCGCTCTCCTCTTTGCCTCCTTAACTCCTAGGCATCCTGCAGGTTTTAACTCTTTTCCTTAGGGGGCCTCTCCCGGCCCCCACTGAGAGGAAGGGCCCTGTGACACCAGGCACCTCTACTGAGGAGCACTAGCTACCCGGGCAATTCTACATTTGTCTCTGGAATCGTCGTCCCTGGTCTCTCCACAAGACTCACCCTCTACAGGGGCAGGTCACAGCCATCGTATCACCTGTGTATCCCCAGCACCACGCCCTCTGGTGGCACATTTCAGAGTCCCTGCAAGCGCTTGCTGAATGGGGTGGGGGTTTAGCGGGGGCGTCTCTCACTCACCTCTTTGTAGCCGAACACAATGCGGCCGTCACGGTGCAGAGCCGCCTGGAAGGTGAAGCTGCCCCTGTCCTCCCGGCCTTGGAGGTAGACGTGATCCCACTGGACGACAAAGACCGTCCCTGCGGAGAGCAGAGGCCTGGCTGGACGGGAGGTGGGGCGGGGAGAGGGCCTCGCAGGAACGGCGGCCTACGTGGCCGGGCCCCGCAGGGACGACGCAGCTTGCGAATTTGACCAAAGGCAGGAGCCGGGCAGCCCACCCACATCAGCCTGGCCGCCACGCTGGAGGGGAGCCAGACACCCTATGTCAGCCCCCAGACCCCGTGCTCGATCACCTCTCATCCCAAGCACGCCCCTGCCTGCCTATCCTGACCCTCGAGATAAAAAGGAGGAGCGCTGAAACCAGTTTGGCTCAGTGGATAGAGCGTCGGTCTGCGGACTGAAAGGTCCCGGGTTCGATTCCCTTCAAGGGCATGTACCTTGGTTGCGGGCAAATCCCCATTGGGGGTGTGTGCAGGAGGCAGCTGATTGATGATTCTCTCTCATTGATGTTTCTCTCTATCCCTCTCTCTTCCTCTCTATAAAAAATCAACAAAGTGTATTTAAAAAAAAAGGAGGAGAAATGGAAGGAATGCCTGTTCTGGGATGGGGGGCGGGGGGTTTGGGGGACATGTGGTGAGAGGAAGAAACAAGAGAGGCCCCTAGTATTTATTTCGCCTCCAGGAAGAGCCAAGCACTTTCATCTTGTTATCTCATCAGGTCCTGCCAGGTAGCCTGCAGCCTGTCCCGCCTTATGGGTGAGGACACAGTGGGGAAGGTGGGGGGTGGCTGCCTTGCTGTGTGACTGTGCCGGGTCCCTTGCCCTCTCTGGGCCTTGCATGCCTCTCACAGGGCTGGGCCAGGGGAGCCCTGGTGCGAGGGGACTTGAACCCTGGGACCTGGCCTCACCGTTGTCGAAGTAAGCCACCGTGGAGTTGTCGGAGTAGCCGGGGTTGAAGTTGGCCATCAGAGGGGCCACGTACTGAGTCGCCGTGAGCATCCGATGGGTCACGTCACCCGTGAAGATGAAGCCTGGGGTGGGGAGGAGAGTTCGGGGGAGTCACCAGAGATGGCCCCACGGGGTTGCTTCCTACGCTCCGCCCCCAGGGGCAGGAAGGAGTGGGGCAGGCAGGCAAGCCTTGAACCTCTGTCCTCCAGGCCCGTCGGGTGGGCTCAGGGTCAGGTGTGCATGAAGCAAGAGGATCCCAGGCCAGAGAAGGTCCTCCTGCCCTCGGGTGGCACAAATCCTCTCTCTCCTCCCCGGAGCACACACACAGGAATAAGGACGGGCTCCTCTCAGCGCAGTCTCCCTCCCCTCTCAGTCACAGACTCAGAGGCACAGGGACCAGGGGGTCTGCCCACACTGGCCTGAGCTGGCCCAGAGGGACACACACACACACACACACACACACACACACACACACACGTGCGCGCGTGAACAAGTCCGCTGATGTGAAAGGTATTCGGACACAATCACTGCCTCCCTCCTAGAGTGCTCCCAGGAAGAGCTAGATGTGCCCCCCCCTCCATTCCATCTCTTCAACCTCATCTCCAACGCAGCTCTCCAGGTAGGCCCCTAAGCTCCGGCTGAGAGCTCCCGAACCTCCCCAGCCCTGCTGGCACAGCCTTACCTCCGGTTGCTATGGTGATCTGCCGCAGAGGATGCCCGTAGAAAGGGAAATCAAAGGACAAGACCACTCTCTGCGGGGGATGGGATGGGAGAGAGTCAGCAGGGGCCAGGGGGCTGGGCATCGATGCCACCCCATGCTTGTCTGGACAGGGTCGGGGGCAGGCTGCCAGACCACAGGCAGGCACCCCAACTCTGGCCAGACCACCCTGAAACCCCCGAAGGCACCTCCCAGACCCTAGATCTCAGGCCATGCCCGCTGGCCAGGCAGTGTGGCGGGTCCCCAGCCTCCCAGCCCGGGGCAGGCTGCCAGGAACGGGCACTCACCGAAGCCTGCCGGTGGGTGTTGGAGAGGATTCTGTGGACCTTCACGTGGCTCCGGTTGGCCTCGGCCACGTCCACCCACAGCTCCCGGCTGCGAGGCTCCCCGGGGCCGTACAGACGAGACACATAGTAGCTGTGGTTGTCCTCCTGTCGCACCCAAGACAGAGCCCACCGAGGCGTGAGGGGTCAGGCCTGCAGGAACCACCCTCTGCACCTCCCCCACCCAGACCTCTGGCCCTCCCAGGAAGCTGGCGCGCTGGCCCAGAGGGCTGACTTAGGCTCTGGACTTCCCTGGGCCCCCAAAAGCTTAGTACTTGGCCCCTAGCCATGACCATGCAGCGCTGGCCCCAGCCAGGTCCACACCTGCTATCCTCTGGCTCAGCCCTGCCTTTCCCAGAGAGGCCAGGAGGCTTCGCCTGCGGCTCGGGTCCCCGTGAAGCACCCAAGACAGAGCTCGGCTTGAGGCACCAAAGAGAGACAGACAGAGCAGCCCCATCAGAGCCCTTGTCTTCAGGAGCTCCCAGACTGAGGGGAGAGCTCCCCTGCTCGGGGAAGTAGTACATATAATTGATTTCAGATGGAGAGAGAGAGAGAGAGAGAGAGAGAGAGAGAGAGAGAGAGAGAGAGAGAGAAACATCAATGATGAGAGAATCACTGATCGGCTGCCTCCTGCACACCCCACACTGGGGATCAAGCCTGCAATCTGGGCATGTGCCCTGACCGGGAATCGAACCGTGACCTCCTGGTTCCTAGGTTGATGCTCAACCACTGAGCCACACCTGTCAGGCTGAGGAGTAGCCTTTTTTTTTTTCTTTTTTTTCTTTTTTTAAATATATTTTTATTGATTTTTTACAGAGAGGAGGAAAGAGGGATAGAGAGCTAGAAACATCGATGAGAGAGAAACATCCACCAGCTGCCTCTTGCACACCCCCCACTGGGGATGTGCCCGCAACCAATGCACATGCCCCTGACCGGAATCGAACCCGGGACCCTTTAGTCCGCAGACCGACGCTCCACCACTGAGCCAAACCGGTTTCAGCGGGAGTAGCCTTTCTAAAAATATAAATTGTATTGATTTTTTACAGAGAGGAAGGGAGAGGGATAGAGAATCATTGATGAGATAGAAACACCGATCAGCCGCCTCCTGCACACCCCCTACTGGGGATGTGCCCGCAACCAAGGTACATACCCTTGACCGGAATCGAACCTGGGACCCTTGAGTCCGTAGGCTGAGGCTCTATCCACTGAGACAAGCCAGTTAGGGTGGGAGTAGCCTTTTTAAGGGAGAAGAAAGCACTGCATCTTAGAAGCTGCCAGTCTGGAGATGGAGGCAGGCCCTTGGTCTTGGGGAGCTGTTAGACTGAGGGAGGAGGTGGGACTTACGCAAACAGAACACAGACACAGGACCCCAAGCCAAGGGTGACACGGGGCCCACCCTGCAGTCACGACGGGGCTGAGAAAGGGGGAGAAGCAGGAAGAACCTCCCACCTCTCCTCTGTGCCCAACGCGGACAGAAGAAGATGCCGGAACACAGCCGGCAGCCGCGACCTTGGCAAGGCCCGTCCTGCACAGCGTGCTCAGCGCCAGCATCAAAGAGGCGGGAATGGGGGGCAGAGAGGGTGGAAGAGCCAGGAGAGGGGGCGATGGCAGGGGTGGGGGGTGGGGCAGCCTTAGGGAAACGGAGGCCGAGCGAGCAGGTTCACTCGGCAGCTGCCACGGAGCTGGGGCTGCTGACCCGTGAGGATCCGGGCATCGTGGGTCATCAATCAGGCTGCCCGCGGCGCGGCTGAGACAGCCGAGCAGACCACGTTCGCGCTGCCAGCTGCCCAGCCAGCCTTGCCCTGGGCCCGGCGTGAGCGGGGACGGGATGCCTGCTCTCCCCACCCCCCAGCAGGGAGCGTCTGCTCTGTGACAGTGACAGTGTGGGAGTCTGGGGTCGGGCAGAGCCGGGGAAGAGGCAGACCGTGTAGACCAGTGTGTGTGTGTGTGTGTGTGTGTGTGTGTGTGTACAGATTTTACACTACCATTGCCTGATTTCACGTCCGTCCATCAGGTAAATTTAAAACCACATCGCTCTGCTCACAAGCCCCTGGGGCTCCCACTGCCCTCAGGACAGAGCCTACACTCCAGCCTGGCATGCAAGTTCTCCTCAACAGCCAGCTCTGCATTCTCCCTGGTTCCCTTCCACCTCCTCCTCTCCTCCTCCCCCCCCCCCCGGGCATCCTGTGCCCCACCCTGACCAGGCCTCTGCAGCCTCAGGCCACCACGGTCACTCAGGCCTCTGCACATGCTGACCCTCCGGCCTAAACGCCCTTCCCATCTCCTCCTGGTGATTCCTGTTCCTTGAAGGCTCAGCTTACACGTCACCCTTTGAAAATGTTTTTATTGATTTTGAGAGAGAGAGGAAGGGCATAGAGAGATAGCGGATGCTTCTCATCGAGGTTTCTATCAGCTGCCTTTTGCATGTCCCCTACTGGGATGGAGCCCCCCAAACCCGGGCATGTGCCATGACCGGGAATTGAACCAGCAACCTCTTGTTTGTTTTAAATATATTTGTATGGATTTCAGAGAAGAAGGGAGAGAGAGTTAGAAACTTCAGTGATGAGAGATAATCATTAATTGGCTGCCTCCTGCATGCCTCACCCTGGGAATTAAGCCTGAAACCTGGGCATGTGCCCTGGCCGGGAGGTGAACGTGTCCTGGTTCATAGGTCGATGCTCAACCACTGAGCCATGCCAGCTGGGCCCTTTTGCCCTTTTATAAGGGAAGGAGAAGAAGTCAGTGCCTGGCTTTGGGTTGAAATTTTGGAAATAAACCTGAGCATCCTTTCACCATCTGTGGGTGAGGGGGAAATGGTGGCCCAGCAGAGCGACCTGCGTTTAGGGGCCACTCCTGTGTGTGCTTCCTCAGGTACACGGTGTCTCACAGAGACCTTGTCCCAGCCCCAACCCCGGCACCTGGGGTCTGGAGGCCGTGGCCTTATTCGGAAACAGTCTCAGCAGGCCCCAATGCCCATGGTGGATGTCCTCACTGAGAAAGGGGAGGGAGGTTTACCGTCCCAGAGGCCGCACAGGGGAGAAGGCCGTGGACAACAGAGGCAGAAACTGGCTTGTGAGCTGCCTCCCCCCAGGACACCCAGGGGTGCCAGAGCCACCAGAAGCTAAAGAGGCGAGGAAGGTCTTCCCTGAACCCCGAGAGGGACCACAGCCTGGCTGGCGGCTGGACTCGGCCTCCGGCCTCCGAGGCTGTGAGAGGACATGGCGGCTGCTGCTGCTGTCAGCCACCAGGCTGTGGTCATCTGGAAACAAGGACATTTGCCCCCGGGGTGTGGCTGCGGCTCAAGCGGGGGGGGGGGGGTGACCCCGAGTTGTCTCCCCCTTCCGTGCCACTGCCCTGTGGCTTCCCAGCTGCTCTCAGCTCGAAGGCCGCACCCCGGGTGTGGCCTATCCAATCTCCATCCCCCTCCACTTCTTTATAAGCAGAACATCGATTCGGGAGCCGGCAGCGACGGAGCCAGCTAGAAACCTCCTCCCCTGGATGGGTTACGTGTGACCCAGGCGACATGGACACGGGCTGGCTAATGAGAGAAACGGAAGCTCTCATGGCACCTTTTGAAAGAGGTCAAATTAAACTACTTGGCCCTCTTGCCTTTGCCCTCCTTGTCCCTGCCTGGAATGGAGGTGTGATGGATGGAGGCCCGGCAGCCATCCTGTGAGCATGAGGACAAGAGCCACAGCCTAAGAATGCTGGCGGTGTAAGGAGCTGGTTGGGACCCGGGAGCCATGTTGGAGGGATGCCCGTTAGCCCTCAGTGACACACACTCCGCCTCCTTCCCTGCTCTCTGCACGCCAGCCCTGCTCCGCTGCCCTCGGTTTCTGAGCTCACCCCGTGCTTGTGGGCCTCCAGACCCCGGGGCTCCCTGTGCCTCAGGACCTCTCTCTTCTTCCTTTCAGAAGCCGCCACCTCCGTTTCACGGTCCTCGCCCCCTGAAACCCCAGTTACACTCTCGTCACCCCCTGGGCTTCTCCCGCTCTGCAAGCCGCATGCTCCTGGTGATTTTTAAAAATATATATTTTAATGATTTTTAATAGAAAGGAAGAGAGAGGGATAGAGAGTTAGAAACATCTATGAGAGAGAATCGTTAATCAGCTGCCTCTCGCACATCCCCCACTGGGGATGCGCCTGCAACCAAGGTACATGCCTTTGACTGGAATCGAACCCAGGCCGATGGCCGATGCTCTATCCACTGAGCCAAACCAGTTTTGGCAACTCCTGGCAATTTACTTGGCATTTAGACTTCTCTCCACACCTGCCTTTCCTACAAGCGCCCACAGGCCAGGTCAGCCTTGAGCTCTGGTGCTGAAGCACAGAGTACGTGCTCCGTGGGAGGACTCGTTAACGGATGAGTGACCGTTCCGAGTGTCACAGCATCGTGTGTCCAAGGCCTGGCCACCGTCTGATTGCTGCCGCCACGGGCTCTGGGGGGGACGGCGTGGCGTCACCAGACAAGGCAGGACGGCGGCCAGCAGGGACCAGGCGCTGTTGGTAGCGGAGGAGCCCAGTGCGTACAGGTGCTGCGAGGAGCCCGGGCAGGCCTGGGCCTGACACAGCTGTTTGCAGGCCATTTCCATCCCCTGCTCCCCGGGACGCCCCGGGGGGAGCGTGCCCTGAGCCTCACGCGGTGGAGATGAGGCAGACAGAAGCCACGCTCTGCAGCTGGGAACCCCAAACATGCTGACATGTGCCTCACCCAAGGGGCAAGCAGTGGGATGACTGGGGACGCGTCCCACACAGGCCCCGGCACCCCGGAAGCCGTATCTCTTTAGAGCCCTGGCTTGGGGGTGCTCCGTGGGGATGGGGAAGGCCAAACTGCAGCCTGGGGAGGAAGGATAGCGTGGAGCGGGGTGACTCCTGGGCAGAGCCGAGAACCCAGTCCGAAGGGTTGGGTGGGGGCTGCTGGTGGAAGAACTGGAGGAAAGAGGCAGGCAGCCGACCTTGGCAGAGCTTGCATTTCAGACACATCACCGCGTACCAAGCTGGTGAGGACTAACATTTTTGGGGTTTGTTTTTCTTCCCCCATCTTTCTTTTAAAAAAAAATATTTTATTGATTTTTTACAGAGAGAAATAGAGTTAGAAACATCGATGA